CAGAAGCACATTTGAGCCTGTTTGATTCTGGAGACAGCACACTTGCTTATGTTACAAGTGACTCCGAAAGCTGCCAGCTCCGAGTGGGACCTGGAATAGAAGGCCCCTCAGCAGATCCAGGCTGCTGACCACTCGGGCCATGTGATCCAGCAGACTCGGAGGTAACTGAAGTTGCAGTGGCAGATAAGGGTGCTGTTTGAAGCCATTGGCGTGCCCTACAGGTGACTCGCAGAAGAGACCTTTGGGGTTTTGGGGTGAGGCTCTACCGTCATCTGCAGACAGCTGTTCTCCTATTGAGAGGCAGCTCTTGGCCTGCCACGGAGCCTTAATGGAAACTGACCATTTGACAACGGGCCACCAAGTTACCATGCAACCTGAGCTGCCTATCATGCGCTGGGTATTACCTGACCCACCCAAGTCATAAAGTAGGATGTGCACAGCAGCAATCCATTATCAAATATAAGTGATATATGTGTGACTGGGCCCAAGCAGGTCCTGGCGCATGAGTAAGTAATGTGAAGAAGTTGCCCAAATGCCTCTGGTGTGTAGAGGAGGCACCTTGAAGACAGCCTGGACTTGGGAACTCCTCCTATCTTGCAGCCTGCCTTCTACCCCTTCACCCCCTTGCTTTCTCCACCTCTTCCTTTTCAGATACAGGTACATTTCTGCATTCTGGGCAGTGTCTTTCCCAGACGCTGGAAAGCCCAGTCCCTGCTGCCAGGGTGCCTAAAGCTGCACATTGCACAGCTGCTGGAGTTGCACAACCTCTCTCCTTGGCCCTGACCATTTATTAACCCATAATTTATCTCGAGTGTGAGAACTGAGGAGAGGCGTAGCGTAAACCTCTCAGTTAGAGCACAGAAAAGGAGACTCTGCCTGCCAGTGCTCCGCTTCAGGTCCCCGGGAGCCCACGGCTGTGAACCAGCCTCTGTGACCGCGCAGAGGACACACTGGGCTCAGCTAAATGTACCCAGGATTTCTGTGGAGACTCCATCTGGGTGTGTTCCCTTAGCTGGGTGGACTCATCCGGGAGCAGTGTAGGGCTCAAAATCCTCTTTATGTCACAGAGCTCTTCATACCTGCCTCGGAACAGTCCTCAAAGCCAGAAGACAGCCTTCCTCTCTCTAGAGAGGGAAAGGGATCCTGGCTGTGGTCACCCACCTCCAGCTTTGACATAGAGGCCACCCTTTTCCTGGAGGTGCTAACTGAGAGGGGTTGTTTCCATGGCACCCGCCCTGAGAGAGCAGTCTCCTGCCGAGAGTGGACAGTGGTGCCAGTCCTTGAGACCATTTAAAGAACCAGTGATGCACATTCTTCTCAGAGTTGTTATCTTCAGTTATGTGTACATATGCGTCTAAGTGAGAGCGTGTGCAGCTGTCCCGGTGCCTGTGGAGGACAGAGGAGTTGGGTTCCTCCTGGAGCTAAGGTGTGTGAGCCGCCTCATGTGGGTGTTGAGCTCAGGTCCTATGCAAAAGCAGCAAGTAATTTTTACCACTGAGCTGTCGTTCCAGCTCCATTTATTTCTTTTTTGCAATAGTTTTTTCATTGTGTAGCCATGACAGGCCTGAAACTCACTATGTAGATCAGGCTGGCTTTGGATTTATAGAGCCCCATCACTGTGTATCACCATCCCAGCTGCTGCTGCTGGTTTTCTTCCTTTATAAATTCAGTCTCCTGTTTGGAGTTTGTCGCCACTGCTTTCCCTTTGTGTGCTCTAGACACTGTAACAAGCCTCATTGTCTGGTTTTAATCTTCTTATTCATGTACTGTTATACAGTCATTGACAGTACAGTGGGATAGTGTTAAAGCAGTAAAGAAAAAAAACCTTTTCTAAGTCTCTTAGTAAAACTGCCTGGTAAACATGTTTGTGTCTTGAGTGTTGCCTGGGCCTGGATCCTCAGTCTGCTGCCTCGTAACAACATAGACTTGGGATTTGTCTTGTTCTGCTCCACTCACTTCTGCTATAAAATGGGGGATCACGTAGTCTCTGCCTCCTCCTAGATTTATTGTCAGAATTAACTGACAAAATGCTTTCATTCACAAAACATTTGGAACTGTGCCTATAGTTTATAAGCACTCAATGAATGTCTGTTGTGTCAGTATTGCTGAGCTTGGGTGTATTGAATGCAGGCCTAATGCCAGGCCCTGAGCAGTTTCCTGGGCTATAAGTTGAAAATCATTGTCTCTGTCCTCTTGGAACTTTACAGTCCTGGTGGAGATGTACTGTGTAATTTTATGGTATGTGTTAGAATACCAGTGTAGACTGTGGGAGTCAAAGTTGCCTGCAGGTCCTGTTATGTGAGGTGCCCTAGGTTCAGACTGTCAGGAAGACAGAAGGTGCTGTGGTGATCTTGAAAGGGTACAGAGGACTTTGAATACTTCCTGCCAAGCTTCCTGGAGGGGTTTAGGTGGTGCTGACATGTCCTCGGGCCAAAAGAGACGCTTGATGTGTGTGGTGCCTTTTCAAAAGTCCAGGCATATCCAGGCCAGCATTGTCAGGAGACTGGGGCCAGGTGTGGCCTCTGTATCTATCTGGCCCGGGAGCGCATACTCCGTGGTCCCCAGAGAGCTAGAGAGCGTTCTGCCGGGAGTCATGTGGCCATTCAGAATTCAGAATGTTTGCCCTGAAAATAATCAGAGGCAGGCAGGGCTGGGAGAGCAGTTCTAGGTGCAAGTAGCCTGGTAGCAGGGAGGCAGGGTGTAGCAGACTGAGAAGGCCTGACGACGGCCACTAGTTTTCTAGCCTGGGTGACAGGTGGCAGCCCTGAAAGCGCTCGGCAGGAGGGTAGAGGATATACCAGCATGGCGCAGGGAGCCTCCAGCAGCTTCTCTGTGCATCTCGTGGGCTGAGGTAGCCAGGTTTATCTGTGATGGAGCTGATGCATAGTGTTCATGGTTTACGTGTTCACAGCCTACTGTGTAGCGAGAGCAAAGGCTTGTAGAATGTGCTTCACGGTGTAGGTAATTCTTCTCTTGGGTGATCAAGTCAGGTTTTTTTTTTCTGTTCCCTTTTCTTATCTGTAATTTCTTCTTTAAAAAAACATAAGGAAGAATGTATCACTTTGGAAATAAGAGGCAAAGCAGGTGTGTGTGGCTGTGTAGGCTGTGGAGTTCGTAAGCTTCAGTGCTTTCCCTGGTGGGTGAGGACGAGAGTGGCAGTGTCTCAGCGCACCTGACGACACTCAGCAAAAACAAGTTCCTCTCCGTGAGGCAGTGACAGTTTCCACGGTTCTCAGATTAAGCACAAAAGTGTGGAAGAGCCAATTCTGGGATGGTAGGGGTGGCGAGGGGCCCTACCAGAAGCTTCAAGGCACTTGTATCATAAGTCTCCTCACCAGGGGCCAGCAGGTCCTTGGCTGGGACTGGAGCAGGTGGCTGGCCAGGTGGGGCCTTGCCCTGATGGGAACGAGTCTTCTGGGAGGTAGAGAGGCCCATTTTCAGGAAGGCTGTAATCACCAACTGACTAATAAGCAACAATAAGACTATTACATGAGGCTCTGGTACCTTTACAAAGGGGCTTCCTTGGGCAGCCCTGTGTGGGCTGAGATCTGTAGGAAATTCTGGGGCTGGGACCTTCACCTGGTACTTCCCCAGCCCGCCTCACTCTGTGTCTGTTCACCCTGCAGCACCATCGTAGCCCGTTTCCAGTGCAGAACTGTTTGCTCAGTGTCTGCAGTCACTTCAGCTGGAGTCTGTTCCCTGTGGAGCGTGTTCTTGGCATTTCTCTAAGCTCTTCCCGTCCTAAAATTCTTCCATAGGATAGAGACTGACAGCCAGTTCTTGTCCATTCTTCCTCACTGGTCTGTTGCAGTTTGTCAGTCTTAGTTGGGGGTGGGGGGAGGGGAGGGGAGTTCTGTGACGCCCCCTCCTCCGAGGTCTCTCTGGACCCTGTTAGAGCTGTGTGCACACAGGTGTCCAGGTTTGGCTCTGCTGTCTTTGCACAGCATCGCTGCTTAGCGTCTGAGCACGCTGCAGAGCTCCATGGCTCAGTGCTGGTACAGTGCTGCACTCTGAATGTATGATCGTATGCCGCCGAGCACTCAGCTGTGGAAAGCCCCGTCCAAGCATCTCCCGTGAATGTCCTGTGTGCCATAACCCTTGGCAGTCATGCCAGGCATTGGATAAGTGGGTCCTGGCTCACTGTTAGGAAGCAAGGCACACTGATGGCACCTATCACGGCCACACCACTGTCAAGTGTGGGACTGAGACTTAAAACAGACCTAGGTAGTGCCCCTGTGCTGTGCCACCAACTGCTTTCTTTTCTGGACCCGGGCTCCCAGCCATCCTGCTGGACACCTTTTCCTGGGTGTCCTACAAGCACCTGAAGCATGACAGACACCAGCCGTCCCGGTCAGCTTCTTTCGGCTTGCCTCTCTGGTGCTCTGTGTGGCTTACAAGTTTACCAGCGGCTGAAAGGTTCACTCCGTGTTGGTGTCTCTCTCCTCTGCTGTCACCATCCCAACTAGTAGTTCTGTTCTACATTCTTTATCTTGTCTGGCATCTGAGTTTCCCTTCCACTTCTGCTGTATCCTTAGTGAACCATCAGTCGTCACTTAGTCCATCTTATCAGGCTCATAGAGCACAGGGGCCTAAGATTCTGCCTATAACAGTGATGAGACCCCCATCCCCACCCTCAGCCTGGGGCCGGGCATGAGCTCTGCGGCTTCCTCCTTCCCATGCTCTGCAGCATGCCCTTCCGTTTCTCAGAGGCCCATAGACATTAGTGTCTTCAAGCTTCTGTCCCCTGGCTTTTAGTCATCGGCTGCTGCTTCCTCTGATCTCTCAACACAGTAAGTCTACAGCACACCTGCCCTGCACCTGTGGGGAGGGAAGCAGGAGGTGGACACGTGGGAGGAAAACAGCAGAAGCCCTGGAGATGGTCCACAGTGACGAGTGGGGAGCCCAGCCAGGGCTTAGCTCCAGGTACTTGGAGGCTCTGGCCATTGAGATCCTGCACAAGTCGGTGTTCTGTCTGTGTCCTTCCAATCACCTGAGTGCAGAGTACCGATACCATCATGGAGAAGTGCGTCAGACACCACAGGCCCTGGCTCCCATTACTGCATTCGAAAGAGCCACCCTGCAGCCCAGTCACACAGGTGAAGAGGACAGCAAAGCAGACCCACTGAATGTCAGGCAGCAGGCTTGCGGGAAAAGTGAACTGTGGGTACAGCACTCGCCAGTGGGCCGTCCCACAGGCAGCACTCTCCCCAGGAAGCAGGATAGTCATTGAGTCAAACTGCTCCCAAGACAGTCCCAGGGGTGGAGAAGAATGGAGCAACAAAAACAGTGTTAGCAAATGGGGACAAAAAGCTCATCAGTGTGGCCTGCTGCCATTCCTTGGGGAAATTCTTTGTTTGTGTTGAGGTGGTCTGGAACACAGAGCCCGTGTGTGTGGGCTTGGGCATGATTGCCTCCACTCCAGAGTGACAGCTGACCTGATGCCTTTCCTGTTCTCCTAGGGGGCAGTGCCCAAAGGAAATGCCACTAAAGAGTTCATCGAGAGCCTTCAGCTGAAGCCTGGCCAGGTGGTGTACAAGTGCCCCAAGTGCTGCAGCATCAAGCCCGACCGGGCGCACCACTGCAGGTACCGTCACTCCCACTGGGCCACACTGGGACTCTGAGTGGCCCACCAGGCAGGGAGTGACCACTAGGGCAGAAAGGGCATTTGTCTGGGCCAGAGGCGCCTGGTGCAGCCTCAGTTTCAGGTCCGTAAGGTCAGCTCTGGCGAGCCTGCCAGCAGCTCTCAGGCTCTCCTGGAAGCACGGTCGCAGAGCTGGTGACAAGCACAGCTCTCAAGCAGATGCCTGTTTCTCTGGTTTTACAGCCGTTTCCTTTGTGTCAGCCAGGTTCCTTCAGCCTTCTTGATGAGAAGACATCTAGCTAAAAATTGCCTTTTTCTCATTATGAGAGATCTATAAATGGCAACTTACAGAGACCTAGAGTGTCCTTTGGTTATTTTTACAACATGATAATGTTTGGAGTGAGGAGGGTTTGGAGGAATTTGCTTCGCCAGCCTGAGACACTGTGGGGAGACAGATGTTGTGGGACCAAGAGGTCGCTGAGTGGCTGAAAGGTGTTTTCCTGTGCAGCCTCAGAGAAAGGATCTGTCTGTCACTCAGATGTCAGCCCCCCCCCCCAGTCTACCCTGTCACCTCATCACCAATCTCATTTCCATCTTCACAGCCACCCCTAGAGAGAAGAGACTGTTGGATGGGCAATGCCCTAGATGGGGAGGCCAGCCTCACAGTGTCAAGTGGCTGCTTTAAGGTCACACAGTGAGTGGGTGCATGAGACAGGTCTGGATCGTGCCCATTCTGGCTGTAGGTCCTTGTGGGCTCTGGCTTTACCCAGAGCGCTAATTTGATGGTGGTTTACACAATGGCATCTGTGTGAGTGTTTGAGAAGTGCTGTTTCTCCTAAGGACTTCTGTCTTGGCTTAACTTGCCTCTGGTGTGTGTTGAGGGTGTATGTGTGTTTATCTTGGTTTTAGGTAAAAGTCTACGCCTGCACCTCTTTCTGTATTCCCCTGCTTCTGGTGATTGATACTGCCTCCATTCCCAGAGCTCTATGGGTTGGTAGCCACACACAAACTTTCCATCTAGAGCAGTGGTTCTTAACCTTCCTAATGCTGAGACCCTTTAATTCAGTTCCTCATGTGGGTGACCCAACCATAACGTAGCTGTAATTTTGCTTCTCTTATGAGTTATAAGGTAAATATCTGATATGTGGGGTATCTGCTGTGCAGCCTTGTGAAAGGGTCCATCAAGGGGTGGAAACCCTCAGACTAGAGCCACTGACCTGGACTATGCCTTCCAGCTGGGTGTGTGTAGGCGGGCCTTGCCCTCCAGCAGAAGCTCTGTGACCCCAGGCCGCTTTCTTCTGTTGGAGCCCTCCCATTTGTGAGGGCCAGGGAGCATCTGCCACTGCAGAGCCTCGGGCTCATGTGCTCAGCTCCCGGGGGGGGGGGGGGGGGGAGCCTGGCTGGGGCTGGGCCTCGCACTCCGTGCTCCCCGTACCCCTGCCATGCATACACTGAGGCTGAGCCCTCTCCAGCCTCCCAGACCCCTGATAGACTCCTTCCTGCTGTTTAGCCTCCCAGTCCTGTGAGTCAGCAAACACGTCTTCATGTGACCTGGTACTCGTATCAGGAACAGGTGATGGTCTAGGCTGAACTAAGGGCCTGTGTTTTCGAGCAGACACAGAATGGAGATCTCCGCTTTCCTTGGCTGCACTGTCTCCTCAGGGCTGTTCTAGGAGAGAGTATAGGGTGCTCTTAGTTTACCACACTTTTGTCAGGCAGTGGGGTGTGGAATGAAAACCTTTGTCTGAAACCGTGGCTCCCTAGGTCTCTCCCCTACTTTGCTGTGGTCCCACCCTTTTCTAGTTCTGTATCTTATCTTTTCTGAGCTCCAGCACTCACACTCAGACCCAGCTAGGCGAGCCCAGGGCTCAGCTCTGGTTTATGGTGGTGGGTGAGAAATAGCCCTATGCCTGAGCCCCCACACAGCCCAGGCGTACCTGTGCTCCATGACAGTGTGGTAAATGGTGCTGCCGGAAAACCATCATTCCTGGAACATGGTTGTGTCTCTAATGCTGGCTCAGCACCCAGGGTAGTTAAAGAACTTTTGCTAGAGGCTGGAAGGCTACATGCCAGAGAGGGTTGCAGATGCCTCCTGGAGATGAAACACAACCCAGGAGTGGCTATGTTAATGCATGTAAGCCAAAGAGCCTGTCAAAGTTTTCTGAAATTTGGGAGCTGAAAAGTGGCAAGGAGGTGGTAGGAAGAAGGGAGGGAAGGTCCTGGTTTTGAAAACAGTGGTGTAAGAGATAGAAGGCATAGCACAACATACTTCCACCCTGAGCGCTTGTGTGTGGAGCGCCTACTGTTGCTTCACCGTCAGCCTCTACAGCCTCGCTCCCAGGGTCCCTACACTGCATGAAGCCGTCTAGCCCAGGGAGAAGAGACGTGCTACTCTGGCACTTCATATCCTTGAAAACAGGAAACATTTTGGACCCACCCACTTAACGCAATCCTCAAGGGCTACAGTCACTTTCCCCGATCTCGCAAGCATGTGTTTGTGTAACCTGGTTGCCCAGCGCACGTCAGCCCCTGTGAAACCCAGCTTCCTGTTCTTCCACACCTGGTCTCTTCAGTGTGAAGGATGGCTTTGCTATGAGAGTTTGTTTAAAATCTCCATAGGCCCCAAAGCCAGAGGCCCCCTTTTGCCTCTGTACACTGGAGCCCTCACTGCCTCTGGCATGCACTTGAGATCCTCCCTAGGAAATAGTAGAGTGGAAGAGGCCGTGCTCAGGAGCCTAGGCCAGGAGTGCCTACCTCAGGGGTCTGTGCCTCAGGTGGGTGGGGAATGAAGGACCCTAGAGCTCACTGTGTTGGAAAGACATACTCGTTAGATGAATAGGATGTGCTGAGTGACTATGGGCAGGGGCCAGGTACACAGCAAGTCGGAAGGTCAGGCATGGTGGTTCACACCTTTAATCTCAGTGCTTGGGAGGCAAAGGCAGGTGGATTTCTGAGTGTGAAGCCAGCCTAGTCTACAGAGCAAGTTCCAAGACACGAAGGTTAAATTGTCATGAAAAGCAAAAAACAGACAAACAGGTGTTTAGACTTCTCGTACTTAATTCACATGTGTTTTCATGTGTAGTTTTAGAACTGGTAACCGAAAAGGCAGACCAGACAGACCAGTGGTCGGGTTGCTTGGCCTGACTGCTTCCTTCTGCATCCATGTTGGACCTCCTTTTTTAGCCTTTCTGCTCCTGGAGACCATGGAACTAGGGTAGCATTTCTGAGTAGCGCCTTTTGGCAGCATGCCTGTGTCATGAGGCCTTTCGAGTGATGGGGAAGGGCAAGGGTGGAGAACAGTATGCAGCCTCTGCTCGTCTGAGTCCACCTGACAGGAACCCACAGCATGCTGAGGTGGTGCAGCAGATCCATGTCTGCCAAGCTCCTGCAGCTCCTACAGCTTGAAAAGTACTCGAGCTCCTGGAACTTGTGCCTGCCCTTTCCCCCTCCGCATCCTGTCCTACAGCAGTACTTCCTGAGATCACCTCCCTTGGCCTCCTCAGGAAGGCCAGTTCTAAGTTTTGTGAGACTTCAGAATAGCCTCTTCCCTGGGCCGGATCTAGCCTCTCGATGTGTGTGGATGCCTGGAAGCAAATGCTTCTTCTGGCTCCTGTGGGGAATGGTTGACCTGGAGGTCCCTCCTGCCGTCCAGCACAAACCACTGCAACTGCCGCTGGCTCCCAGGGTGGGAGCAGAGGCCCCTGGGTCACCCTGGCACCTGCTGGTTTGTTTCTTGTATAGCGATTGTTTTCACACTATGTATGGTGATAATCCCCACTGAAGGTCTGCGTTCTGGGTCATTTCAGCGTTTGTAAGCGGTGCATTCGCAAGATGGACCACCACTGTCCTTGGGTCAATAACTGTGTCGGCGAGAACAACCAGAAGTACTTTGTCCTGTTTACAGTAAGTCAGCTTTGGACTGGGCGCTGCCCCATGAGGCAGGGGACGTCTTTTCTTCCGTGGGAGATCTCAGCCCTCGTAGCAGTCTTGGTTCCTGTTGAGAATGCCGCCTGCCTGTTTGTCTCTCTGCCTTCTTACTCTGGGATTTCTCTGGCTCAACAAGTGTCCTTCCCTGTCTCTGCATGTATAGAGGTGGTTTGGTTTGACCAGCTGGAGGCACGTGCTGTGCCTGGGCACCACTCATGCGCCGGGCCCACATGGCTAAAGGAGGCAGTGTTGCTGGTGTCTCAAGCTCTGAGCTGCAGGGAGGTGGAGAATTGGCACTCTAACTCTTTAAGCAGCAGCAGCAGCTCTTATGTGCCTCACACACCCTGAGTCATGCTTGTGTTTAGGCTGTGCATCTGTTTTGGTTTCACATTGCTAGAGAATGGCTGAGAACATCCCACTCAAAACAGGAAGTAGGGGTCTGTGGGCTGGAGGAGTCAGATAGCTGTCTGGCCTCGGCCTAGCAAAATATTCCAGTAGAATGTGTTCTGAGCAGCTGTTCAAGGAGACTGCAGAGTTAGGAGACTCTCCCAACACTGGCTCAGCACTGCTTTCCTGTTTCAGATGTACATAGCTCTCATTTCCTTGCACGCCCTCATCATGGTGGGATTCCACTTCCTGCATTGCTTTGAAGAGGACTGGACAAGTAAGTATTACCAGGGTTTCTCTTCCTGCTGTAGAGACGGTGGAGGACCCCAGTGCATGGCTGTCTGTGCCCTTTCCAGTACCAGGCCCAGACTCATTGTGTAGATCCTCCGAAGCCCTCCAGACTGATCAGCTCCTAAGAGGCAGAAGTCTTTTTTCATGACAAGAAGCAGCCCTTCCGTTTAGACAGGTGACACAATGTGTTGGACAGGACCAGCCTGAGCGTGTCGCTGGAGAGAACAGGCTCCGAGTGAACGGAGGCCAGGGTCCTGAGGAGGCAGCGGAGAGAGCTTTGCTGCTTGGTCTGCAAGGCCCTTGTTTTACTCCTTTTGCTGCTGGAGGTAGAGCCCAAGGCTACAGTAGGCGAGGTCTCCTCCCCTAAGCAACACCCTGTCTCTAAACAGGGCACTGTAATTAAAGCCTTTTACCCCAGTCTCCCAGAGACCCGTTCTTAACTTTTTGTGTAGGGCATAGAGGATTTTTTAACTCTGTATGTTTTTTGTATGCTAATTCTCTTCATAGTGTTTGTCTTAATAATACTTAGATTAAGGTTGTAAACAATTTCTCCCTGCTTCCTAAGTATCCCATTTAAATGTGCAGATTTAAAATGGGGAGAAAGTGGTGGGAAAGCATAAAGTAATAAGCAGCTGCAGAAGAGGCTCGATCGTTCACACTCGGGGTCTGCGAGGCAGATGACCTGAGCAGGGAACCCTAGGCGAGTACCCTCTTCCTTCTACTGTTTTCACTCTTTTGCCCTCTCTGTGCCCACCACAGTTCTGAGAGGAGGGCAGGGGCAAGCCCTCCCATCTGCAAGAGATACCATCTGCAGAGCTGAGTGAGTCCAGCGAGTCCTGCTCACTTGGTGAACATTCTGAAAGTACAATTATTCTGTTAGGCCCTGGCAGTCCAGGTCAGTTCTGGTGTGGCCTTGGTAACTTGATACAGGATGTCCAGCGAGGTCATTTTATCATCACGAACCTCCTCCTGTATCAGGCTAACTGGACAATGATAGCATGGCCCAGACTGTCACAGAAGTGACTGTCTTTACTTTTGCCCACTAACAGGGCCGTTAGGGTGCACCAGGAGCCAGGCAATATGCAGAGGGTATTAGGAGCACTGCTTTGTTCAGGCTCTCCAAGCCCCAAGATAGGAGCGTGCTCCTCATTTACAGATGACAGAAGCTGGGGTCAGAGATGAGCCTAGTCCCAAGATCTCCTACCAGAAAAGAGGGCCAGTGGCTCAAGTCCTGGTGTCAAGCAGGCGTTCAAACCTGAGGTGTGCTAGTTAGGGAAGAGGAATCCTGCTGGGTCCAGTCTCTTGAGGGATTAAGGTGAAGGTAGGGTGGGTGCTTGTGGAGTGGAGCAGGGAGCCATGCAGCCAGCACAGTCCCCTGTTGCTTTCCTTGCAGAGTGCAGCTCTTTCTCGCCGCCCACCACAGTCATTCTGCTCATCCTGCTGTGCTTTGAGGCGCTGCTCTTCCTCATTTTTACATCAGTGATGTTTGGGACCCAAGTGCACTCCATCTGCACAGACGAGACGGTAAGCAGAGCGCCTACCTCTTCTAGCCTACTCTTTTTTTTTTTTTAATGTATTTCTTTATTATGTATACAATGCTCTGTCAGTATGTGTGCCTGCAGGAGAGGGCACCAGATGTCATCATAGATGACATCTATGGTTGTGAGCCACCATGTGGGTGCTGGGAATTCAACTCAGGTCCTCTGGAAGAGCAGCCAGTGCTCTTAACCTCCGAGCTATCTCTCCCGTCCCTAGCCTACTCTTTCGGAACCCAAGTCAGGGATCGGTGCTCAGAGTTCAGGGCACAGTTTGTTCCAGGGACCTTGGTCTATGCAGGTTTGGCTGGTCGCATGGGAACGGCCCTGCCTGCAGCCTTAGGCAGAAGGTTGCCTTTAACACGATTCCTTCTTTATTACACAGTGTGCCGTGTGAGGAATTGTGCCAGGCTCTTGTCCTTCCCCCGCCCCCAAGGCTTCTAGACATCATCTTCTAGAGCTGATGTCATGACTCGATCCAGGAGACAGATCTGCTTTCAGGCCGCAGGCAGCACGTTCTGGTCCTTGCCATCCTCTTATCCTCTCACCCACTCACCTTCTCCCCTACAGCCAACTTCTGGCCTTCTAGAGACAGTCAGGACCCTTGACCTGGTGGTGATGTCGTTTCTTGACTTTTTTGCTTTGGGTTCTGTAAGGTGGATAGGCAGCACTTTGTCCTGAATGTGCTAAAGACTCATGGGACGGGGACTCGACCCCTTGCTTGCTCCTGGCCTTGTGAGTACTGCCCACTCACTGCCCCCGGTAGAAGCTCCCAGCTGTGCTCTAGGGCCGAGGCTCCTTGTAACCAGCATTTGCTGGAGGACAGCTTCTTCCGAGGCTTCAGGTGCTCCTGCTCTGTGGGCCTAAAAGCAGAGAGGGACAGCGCTGCCCACCGCCGAAGCGCCATTGAATGCTCTAGGTGGTCCCTAGTGTTTTTGACGTTGGATCCTTTAGCCACTGTGTTTCATCTATGTGAATTCATGTCATTGCAAAAGGTTTGGCAAACATGGTAGCTTTGGTGTCTATTCAGCCGTATATCCAACTGGCTAATGGGACCAGCTGCTCCACAGAAGCCCATTAGGGAGCCCAAATGTGACTGTCGGGGAGTACTTCCAGGTTTTCCAAAACATGTTCTGGGGGCAAAGGGTAAACTGACAGACTGGTCCTGTTGTTCTTCCTTATCAAGACTGACCCTAAAGAGAATTGTGTTGCCTGTGGTCTGTGGGGAGAGCAGCAGCACCCTTCACTGGTGTCTTCCGGGATCCTGTGAGACAAACATGGGCTTTTCCACCCCTCTCCGGGCAGAGACTCATAGCAGACAGGCAGCGCCTGCTCTCTGCTGCTCTAGAGGCCCAACAGCTCTGTTTGAAAGATCAAAAGGAAACTTTCTCCCTAGTCCCTGTTTTGTCTTTTGTTTTTGTTTTCCTGAGCCTTAGAGGGAAAGTGGCACAAGCCTTGACCCCTGTGCTTCTCCTGGAAGAAGCTCTGGGAGATCCTCTTCACCTCACCACGACCCAGGCCGCAAGCTGCTCTCCCGCTAACCGGCACTAATTCCCTCTTCCTCTCGTGGTGATTCCTCCACTCACCAGCTGTCACTCTTGCTGTCTCACCCTGTCCCTGTGTGTCTCCCCATCCTGGTCAGTGGCTGCTTCTCGACCCTCTGGGCTGGGGAGACAGTGCCAGAGCAGTCATTTCAGCTGCTGCTTTTTTTTTTTTTTTTCTTCTGCAAAGTGGTCATTGTGGCTTCAGCTCTCCTGTGCATACTTCCCATACCAACAGCCACCACTGGTTGCCAGAATCTCAAGCTCCCATATCACATACACAGGTGCCTCCGAGCACGCTCTGACCCAGCAAGGGCTCAGGAGCAGACGGTGTCCGTCCTGTGGGCAGCAGTGGTCTGGCTGCCCACCGAGAGCTCATTGTCCCGTCCTTCTCGGGCTTGTAAGCGTGTGCTCACCAGAAACCCCTTTCAGTGGCGTTTCTAAGAGAGGCAGAAGAAGGCGGCACCGTGTAGACAGCTACAGTGCTTTGAAGAAGCGGTGTTCAGTCTGGTCCCTGAGGCTCGTGGACGTCCCCAAACTGCAGCAGCGGAGCGCTTGACTGAAAGTGTGATTGTTCTTGTTTTCAGGGAATAGAACAATTGAAAAAGGAAGAGAGAAGATGGGCTAAAAAAACAAAGTGGATGAACATGAAAGCGGTTTTTGGCCACCCTTTCTCTCTAGGCTGGGCCAGCCCCTTTGCCACACCAGACCAGGGGAAGGCAGACCCGTACCAGTATGTGGTCTGAAGGACCCTGACCAGCATGGCCACTCGGGCCACTCCATGGCACCGTCCCATCCGCTCTCGTGAACGTTTAGGCCAAAAGCAAAACAAACTGACTACTCTTAAGACTTTTTTATGTCTTCAGAAAAATGGCTGAGCATTGCAGAGAAAAAAAAGTCCCCATGTTTTATTTTTTAAAAAAAATCATCCTTTCAAATTTTTGATGACTGAAGCTGCTCTTTTCCTTTTAAAATCACTTCTCTGGCCTCTTTCCTCTCTGCTGTCTGTCAGCATGACTAACGTGGAGGGTGCTGCCCAGGCTCCGCCCCGTCTACTAATCCAACGGCCCTCGATGCTGTGCGTGGATGGACTGGCCCAGTAGGAAGCCGAGAGGGCCCTGACCTCCTCCTGCCCACAGGCAGCACTGTCACCCGCAGGACAGAACCTCCTCGAAGACGTGTCACCCCTTGAGGCCTAAGAATGGCAAGATTGGGCTGGAGCCTTCCTAAGGGCCCTTGGTGCAGTGGTCTCCTGCCCAAGTGGACACAGGTGGCCTCATTCTCAAAGCTGCTTGCCAGCCTTGTACCTGACGGGCATGGGTGTACAGACGGTTTTGGGGAGGTGGGAGAGGTAAAGGGGCCTTTGTATTCTGAACCTGCACTTATGTCCCTCTGGCTTTTTGGAAGACTGAATGAAAGATGTTTTCCAGTTTTAAAATGCCTTATGCAATCACATGAGGGAAAACACAAATTCAGGCAGGCTACAACTATTTCCTATCCCAGTTCCTGCCCTTTCCCAGCAAGCTGTCAGTCAAGCTGTGTCCATTCTGAGGGAAACAGACAGGCCACCTGTCAGGGTCATCTCATTCTTAGGGGTATCATGGGCACAGACTCTCTGGAGTTTAATCCTTTGGATGTGCATAGACCGTGTCTTACCTGTGTTTAGCCTGGGCGGTGGTTGTAGGTGTTAGGCCGCACTCTTAGAGCTGCCAGGTAGCTTCCCACTCACCTGCTTCTCAGCTGACACAGACTGGCTTTCCCATCAGCAGGCACTGTCCCTGCAGTCCCACAGGAAAGAGCTGGTCTTGAGCTGGGGAAGGGCCGGGAGATGAAGGAGGTGCTGGGAGAAGCCCACTCTTGAACAGTACAGCCCATTTGGACCCTGAGCACCGTGAAGTCCTCCACACCAGTGGGCTTTAAAGCAGTCACCACAAATCTCCTTTTTTAGCTTTTGCTTGGGGCTGGGGTAGGGATAGGGTTTTTCACTCTAGGTCTGGGGAGGAAAGAAATTGCGGTAGCCCTGTGATTCTTCAGAAGCCAGGGGGACACTCTGCCTCTTTCCAGCTCTGTCAGTGCTTCCACATGGAGACAATGCAATAAACCTTTTCCAAACCTCTGATCTGTCCGCTCTCTCCGCAAGGCTTGTGCGGAAGGGCAGGCCATGCAGGCTGCAGGGTGAGAGAGTTTGGTTTTGTCCTTAAAGGCTATCGATGGCCTTTCTGAGGTCAGAATGTGTGTGTGTTAGTGGAGAGGGTGCTCTCTGGCTCCAAGAGGTCAAGCTCTGGAGTCTAGACCAGAGTCTACTAACAGTGCTAGAGTGCTGCTCTGGGGGTTCTTGCTGATGGGGTCAAGGGATGACAGATGAGGAAACCCTGGGGCAGTTAACTGAGGGCGTGGTCACCTTGCCTACCTCAGCAGGCTTTGACTTGCCTCCGCTGTGCTGTTTAGGCTGAGATCCTGAGTGTGTGTGTGTGTGATTTTACACATAATTTTGTATATTTACATACATAGGCTATTTTAGATCAAGTTCATAGCATTTGTTCTCTGGTGCCTTTTAAATTTTGTTTACAGTTCTCTGGGTATATGTGAAAGAGGTGTGGCCTGCTCCAGGTCCAGCAAGTTGGAAGGGTGCAGGCGTGCTGGGACACTCGGGAAAGACCGGGGCGGCCAGCAAGCAGCACTGACTGCAGCCATGGTTTCTGTTACCGCCCTTCCGTCCTTCTCTTCCTCCCTCCCCCACAATTTTCTCCTCAGGACTGGGACTCAGGAAACAGCCTTTTTAAAAAGTGGCATCTTTTGAATGGCTCATAGCTTTCCCCCATGGAGTTTCTGAGGATTGTAGTAGGTGGTACTGCAGGAATTTGAATCCTGGACCACAAGCTCACCATCTGCATGGGTGTGCCCTCAGCTCCTAGGTCCCGTCCAAGTCTGCCTCTGTATTACTAGAAGCCAGAGACTGCCAAATGGCTGTTCTTAATGCTCAAGCTGGAGCAAAAGGGTCTCAAAACAGGACTACCCAGGGTGGCCTATGTGTCCCATTTCATTTTCTCTGAGGGCACAATTACCAAGCTGGGTGTTAACAGTGGTTCTGCCCCTGCGTCCTCTGGTGCCTTCAAGTGGAGTAAGAGGACCTTTCTCGTGCCCCACTCTGGAAAGTGAGCCCTTCTGCCTGTCTTTCAGAATGGGAGCTCTGGAGAGTAAGAGTGAAGAAGACACGGCCAGTTCTTGACCATTTCTTGGTGTGTGTCTGCATCAGCTTGGTGACATGTATACAGGGGACACCAAGTGGAAATGTCTGTGCCTGGCCTCTCCTTAGTGCCATTGTACCTTTGTCACACTTGGACCTTAGAAGAGGTCAAGGGTGGCCAGCCTTCGATTGCTGTGCCTCATGCAAGACGGGCATCACAGACACCCACTCCAGGAGGGTGGCCTTGGGCTCTCCAAACCACCCTGATTCGTTTTCAAGTTCTCTTCTTTCATAGTGAAGCACACCAGCTTCACCTTGAACTTGGTGAACTAGCCAAGGGGCACAGTGGTTCCAGGCTAGGAGGGCCTCCTTGTTTGCGCAGTGCTAAGGGACAAGCTCAGAGCTTACAGGGGTGGGGCTTCAGGTTAGCCCTGCAGCCGCCGCCAGCTGGGAGGTAGCAGCTGAGGCCAGCAGGTATGCACACTGATTAGCCACTGACCTTCTAGTTGGTTGTCTGCGACCTCTCAGCCTCTGATGATCCTTAAACATGTTTTTTCAAGCCTGTCTTTACCAATGGCACCTTTACTGAAAAGCCAGCAGGAGGGGCAAAACCAAGGAACCAACTTTCCAGGGAGTTCTCCAGACCCAGTGTTTGAGCAGCCCAGCCACAGGCAGTTCCTGCTCTTCATTTTCATTGCTCACAGGGCTGACTATCTGAAGCCAACCATGGTGGTGCGCGTAACCTGAGCAGGTTCAGAAGTGGAGGCAACGATCAATTCAGGGTCGTTCCTGGCTCTTTAGGGAGTTCAAGGTTAACCTGTGCTACATGAGGCCCTATCTCAAGAAACAGCTCATAAAGAGCCAGGTACCGTGATGTGTGTCTGTAGTCCCAATACTCAGGAGGATGGCTTGATACAGGAGTTCAAGACCAGCCTAGGCAGCACAGTGAGACCCTATTTCAGAAATAGGAAAAAAAGCCACTGAGCAGCATGTTTTCCCAAACCAGGGCCTTCACCTCAAGTTGTAGCTTGAACAAAGCAGAGAGGCCCCAGGTCTTTCCATCCTCCACCCTTAACAAATGGAGCAGAGGCCCTGGATCCTCTTCTACTCTGTGGACCAAGAAGAGCCGAGGAGTAATGAGCAGCCCTGCAGGGGTGGCGTGCCAGAGACCCTCTGGGGCACCACAGCTCTGCTTCGGACTAAAGGACGTCCAGAGTTCTTCAGCTGGGGTGGGGTTCAGTGGCAGCACCTAACTCAGCATGTGCCAAAAGACAGATGAGCAGCCATTCTCGGGACATCCGTAAGCGCTGGATAGATGCAGAGGTAGAGTATGTGGGGTTGGGTTTCTGTGTGTAACAGCTGCACTGGAGCTGAGCGTTTCTAATCAGGGTCACCAACGTTCTTTCAAACTTCTGTTGGTGAGGTGCTGGATTTGAGACAAGGTCTTTCTCTGTGTAACCCTGGCTACTCTAGAACACGCAGGGATGCTCCTGCCTCTGCCTCCTGAGTGCTGGGATTAAAGACATGCACCACCATTGCTTGCTGAATGAGGTTTCAGAGTATTTTGGTTGTGAATGTGTGTGTTCTGGGTTGTAACAGGAAGACTATAAAGCTGCTGGCGTCATCTGACCAGCTCTATAAAGCCTGCTAGAGGAGTGCTAGCCAAGTCCTCTGCTGGCACTGGGGTCATATTCCAGGAGACTGACAAGCTCTGAACTCATGCTTGAGGCCTCTGCCTCCACTGGGAGTCTTAGGCCTCATACATTCACACTCCACAGGATGTGCAGTTGAGGCCCAGTGCCAGCTCGTTGGGTCAGTCACTGTTCTCTTGAGTCAGACATGGCTATGCACACCTATAGAAAAAAAAAATGTAGGTTTTTGTCTTCAGGAAACCTTTAAGTCTACACAAGACTCCCAGAAAAGGAAGCCGTCAGGCCTGATCAGTGCCCCGACTCAGAGCTGACACTCCTGATGTCTATGCAAGTAGCTGCTAGGGAACGTCAGCACACAGGCCAGTCGATCTAACAGCATGGGGCAGGGGCAGGGGCAGTGCTGCGCTTGCTCCACGCTGCACCTGACTTTGAAATCCACAGAGTGAGGCTGTCAGAGAATGGGGAAAACACTTGGTGCAGAGAAAAAGGCACTTGTTCCTGCGTGACCTTCCAAGCACGCTTGGGCTGCTGTCTCGGCTGTCAGGATGTCAGGATTGACGCCTTCCTCTCGTCGTAATGCCCGGCCCATCTTGACTGATTGCAGGTGACCGCTAGGCAGAGGGTGCAGGCTCTCTAAAAGTGAGTTGCCTCTGCTGTCGGTGCTGGTGTAAGAAGGGAATGGCCCGAGGGACAACTGACACTCAGCTGTCACCTGATTCTTGTTCTGACTATAAAACCAAGGCTTGCTCCACAGTAAAACAATGGAATGTGGACAAGTCCACAGAAATAAACACCGTCTGCAAAGGTGACAGTTCCAGTCACCAGTGCATACAGCTTCTCCTCCACGGCACAAAAGGTCACTGGATGGCCCAGGGTCATGCAAAACTGTCAACAGTTTCTCATTGCTACATACTGTTCTGATGTATAAAATTATTCTACATTAACTGCACATGCCAGTTCTCAATTATAATTCTCATTATAATTCAGAGTCAAGTCTTGTAGTACAAAATCTATCTTAGATTATTTTGTTGTTTGTTTGTTATATGTTTGTTTAGCTTTTCATAATGAAACATTTTCAAACTTATAAAAACCAGCAAAATTGTGTATCTTCTACATGACATTCAGTGTTACCAAAGATAAACATCTTAAAACAACAACAGCAACAAATTTCTTTGTCTTTTAAGAAAATAATTTAGAAAGAAAGAAGGGGTAGACTTGGAGTGTGCATGGGGCACAGACCTGTAGCCTAGCTCTCCAGGTGGCTACGGTAGGATGGTCACTTGAGTTTGAGGCCAGCCCTGAATTATGCTACATAGTAGGGTGAAACCCGTTTTCTCTTTTAAAAACAAAACTCTTCAGACCTACTGGCCTCTACCTCAGGAACCCTTTTGAGGTTCCTCTGCTTGCCACTTTTGTTTTTCTCTTTACTTCATGTCTATCAGTTCCTCAGACTTAAATTTATCATGAGCTAGATTTTTTTAATTGAGGATAAATCCATATAATATAATACAAATCATTTTAAGTATACAGTTTGTTCTGAGGCATTTATCAGATTCAGAGTAAACCAACTTCTGTCCAGTTCCAAAATACTCCCACTGCAGACCTTGGCCCTGTGAGGACTGCAGGGCCTGTCAGAGGCTTGCGTGTCTGGCAGGCCGTGGCTTGCAGCAGGAGTGGCATGTCGTATCACATCTGTGGCTTGGGCTTGCTGTGATTTCAAACACTTGCTGCTGATCTGCTTCAGTATTGGCAGTTCTGACTTTGATCACTGTGTCAAGTCTGTTCCTTTAACATTTCACTGCTATCAAGTGGCCTTTGTCTCCTTGGTGACTGATGTCTCGTATGAAGAGAGAACATGAGAGCAGATCTTTTTTGTGGTTTGTTTTTTGTTTCTGTTTGTTTTGTTTTAAGACAGTGTCTCTATCCGTAGCAGTCCTGGAACTCACAGAAATCCACCTGCCTCTGCCTCACAAGTGCTAGGATTAAGGCCTTTGGCACCATTGCCCAGCTGAGCTCAGATTCTTTTAACTGACAGCTTTTACAGAAGTCAAGAAACTGAAATTGCGGAGTTGGCCTGGGACAGGTGCCTGGGGTATTGCTATAGGATGCGGTCACCAGCCTGTGTGCTGGTCTCTTCGCTAAGGAAGGGTATGCCCGTTAAGGGGAGGAAGCTGCAGGGAGAGATGTAGAACTAGGAGCATGGACATCTTTCTTGGGGGAAGAAGGGCTTGAGGCTCTTGATATTGAGCACATCCGTGTGTGAGGGAAACTAGTGAGTTCCAAAAGAGGTGGAGAGAAGCAGAGGCTGCACTGGGCCTTGGAGCTTCTGTAAGGAATAGGTCTGGAGATCTGGTCTGGCTGTACCTATAACAATCTTAGGCTTTCTCTACCCTTCACCCTCTTTCTGTGGCCTGGTGGCCGAGTCACAGCCAGCACCCACAGCAGGTGAGTGGCAGCTCGGGAGAGGCCATGGGGAAAATCCTGCATGAACAGGCCTGACAGCAAACCTCACCACCCACAGTGGCCCATGCACCTTCTGGAGCCCACTGCATGTGGCACCTGCTGCTCCCTCTTGCATGTTTGTGTCCAGGGCTGTACCCTCACCCCTCAGCTTTTCTCACGCCAAGCTTGCTGGTCCTGTTGTGCGCAAGGGGCCCCTTTCCTAGTGCTTTCTTCAGATGGGTAGTCTAGCTCATGCCTACAGGAACCAAGATATCGTTTGTTGGCCGTTGGGTGTCTGGTCCCTGCCCAGCAGCAGACCACTGCCTTTGGAGGAGGGGGTTTGGGGGTAAGTGGGTGGCAGGCAATTCCAATGTCAGGCCTGCTTATTCTGCTTCACAGTTTCTACTCTGCCCTCCCGCCCTAAGGGGCTTCCAGGGTGGCCTGGGCCACTGCAAGTTATGCCATATTGGACTTCCCATGCCCTGCTCTGCCAAGGCAAAGGGTGTGTTCATTTAGCACAGGTCACACCACGCTGACCTTCTGCCCCATTCTCCTTCAGGGCATTGAACGCCTCCAACGAAAGAAACAGCCCAGGGAGCACTCGGGCAGCTGGAAGTCGGTCCAGGAGGCTTTTGGTGGGGAGTTTTCCCTGAACTGGTTCAACCCTTTCACCAGACCTTGTCAACCAGACACACCCATTGACAAGGGCTTGGTACGGCAAGTGTCGTCTCTGTCAGACATGGACAACATGGAGACAGCTGAGACCCAATCGGAGGAGACAAAAGAGAGGGATTCTGTGGAGGTGCTGGATGAATAGCGGTCATGGAGAATACGACACCAGTGGCTCTGGCTTGATGAGTACTCCCCAGCTCCCTGAGGCTTCCACAGGCCACTTCCTTGGTGTTGACAATTGTAGAGGAGAGTGGGGATGTTCTCTGACTTCCTCTTAGCCGAGTGCGCCAAAAGGGATGGTCAGGAGCAATTCTCCAGGCTTGGGAAGGCTACCTAGCCTCCCCCAGCAAGGGAGATGGTGACCAGGCTGTCCTGGGGGAAGAAATCCAGGTCTTGTGGGCTGTCTCGGGGAGGCTGAGGGCCTTGGGAAGGATACTACGCACAGGGAAGATGAGCCTGGAAGGCTAGAGAAACTCCAGCCAGTGCCAAGGAAAGGGTCCCTTGACTGGCTGGCTGTGGAAGTCAGGACAGGGGAGAGGCTACCGAACCTGCCTTCAGGGCTTGGTTGAAAGAGCGCCCCACACAGCTGCATGCAGAACCCGCCCAGATGGGGATGAGCCTGAGTTACGACAGTATCGCCCAAAATTAGGTCCTATCCTGTCGATACTAGAGTCTTCCCTGAGACAAAATGGAGCCAGCACTCTGTGGCTACAAGCTTGCACTCCCAGAGGAGCTGGGGGAGGACTTCTGTTGACCTCTTGAAGAAAGTCGAGTAAGATGGGGACAGGAGTGGCCCTCTCTGCTGTTAAAGCACTCCCAAGACGGCACCTCACAGAAAGCTGTATGGCTAGCTCTAGTGCACATACCTTTATTCCCAACATTTGGGGCAGGCAGCCAGAACTCTTGAGTTTGAGGCCAGCCTGGTCTACATAGTTCCCAGTGAAACTCTGCCTTAAAAACAATAACAAAAAAGGAACTGCTTGGTGGCCACCCGGAAGACGCCAGAGGGTGGCACACCACCCCGAGTGGCAGCCGCCCCCGGCACTACCAGCTGTGGCTTACTCCACCCTGCTGCGGGCGTTTCCACACAGCAGGCCTGCTTTAACATTTAGCTCTAACGTGAGGAGCCCTGAGCCCAGGCACACCTGGCTGGCCCATGAGCCCCAGAGACGGCTCACCGGGGAGAGGGCAGGCCATTTCTTTCCAGAGTGCTTCCCCTGGAGAGGTTGAGGTGGGCAGGCATTAGAGCTCTTCCTGCCTCCTCAGCAAACCTGTTACTGTGTCAGGCCCCAAGTCCGGGAGGAGCCGGACTGCCAGGATCATGTAGGTGGTTTAGCCCTGGGCCTTGCGCCTTCACACCAGGGCACAGTGGCCTTCACTCCATGGTGACTCCTGAGATTCTGCCCACCTCTGCAGCTGATCAGAGGAGGCCCACCCAGGGTTTCCGGGAGGGAGGCCGGTTGCACACCTGCCTCTTGTTTTCAATAAAAGTTCTTTGGTCTACCTCTGTGGCTAGAGGTGCCTGTTTTTAGCAGGAGATACTAGCTCAAAAGCCCTAGCAGCACCCTGCCTCAGGTCCAGTGTGTAAAATAAGTGTCACGCAGATGCTAGCAGCGACTTCATGGGGTTACTAACCGATCCTTCTTGGACCCAGCATAGACAAGGCACCTACCAGATACCTACTGCATGCCAGAGTGGTGGGCATCTGGGCAGAAGCAATCAGTACTGAGGTGTTCTAGTTGGGAGTGAATGGAGGAGAGATGATTAGTGTTCTGGCTAGTTTTATATCAACTTGACACAAACTAAAGTCACTTGGGAAGAAGGAGTCTCATTGGGAAAATGCCTCCATAAGTCTGGCCTGTATGCACATGTGTAGTACATTTGATTGAGGTAGGAGGGGCTGGTCCCTTGGGGCGGTGCCACCGTGGGTGGCCCTGGATGGTGGAAGAAAACAGGAGCAAGCCAGTGAGCAGCACCCCTCCTGCCTCCAGGCTCCCTCCGAGGTGGACTGTTACCTGAAAATTAGATGCAATAAACCCTTTCCTCCTCAGGTCGCTTTTGGTCATAGTCTTTTATCACAGCACTAGAAACCCTAAGACAAGGATGTCCTTTAAATACTCAAAACACCCCTTATTCAATCTGTAGCATACATGTCCACTTAGAATTACAGTCCTTGAGAGAGGCTGGCCATCACGAAGGGGGCTGGGACCAAGGAAGCCAACCTGTTGGAGAGAGCCCGTGGAGCCAATGAATCTCAGAGGGAATGACTCCCCCAGGTTACTTTAAGCAAAATGCTGGCATAAAAGACAAATTAACTCAACCACATAGCCATGTCAAAGTTTCCAGATTTTAATTCAAGGTGTAGTGATCATCTGTGCAGATCGCTTGAGAGCAGGGCAGGGCAGGGCGAGCTACTTCCCCGGTATCGTCATTGGCAGTAGACTCCCACTCAGAGGAAGGGGATACAGGCTCTTGGGTCTCTCCCGTGGCCACCTAGAGACAAGAGGGCCTCACGCCAGCGTGGGGCCTGCTTCTGAGAGGACAGCCCTGGGAAAAGAGCATGTAGCGCCTGGCCCAGGACCAGCTCCAGGAGGCTCCCTGTAGGACTTCCTAGTCAGCCTCCAGGCACGCTGGACGGGGTCTATAGTCTAGAAAGAAGATGCCTACAGCTCTGGGCTCTGTATGCTTCTGGACCCAGATGACAGTGGCATTGTCTTCTGAGGCCATCCTCCTAAATCTGTTTGAGATGTCTGCTTGTGATGGATGCTTCAAGCTGGAGGGAGGTGCCTGGCCCCGTGCCGCCAGTGGTAACCTTGGCCTTTGGGGTCTATTTTTCGCTATCTTGAATCTGCCCTCACGTGAGTAATCAAATGCAATCATCCCTGACCTGGAAGCTAATTCAGCTTAGGGAATGCTAACCATGCAGAGCCAAGGCGCAGAGCCAATCAGGGCTCCTGCCTCCGTCACCATGGTATCAAATTGGCTACTTGGTGATGAGAACGATCTTCTCAGAATGAACCTCCTTCACTTGTCTGGAAGTGAACTTGACAATAAATTTCCTGGGTCCAGCTTTCACTGGGTTGCATTTCATTTGGAAATTGATGGTCTTTCCAGGGGGCAAAGTCCTAGAAAAGTCAAAGGCACAGAGACAATCAGGCAGAGGTGCCGCAGAGGAGATGCATTGCTTGAGGGACCAGGCACGGAGGTACAGTGCGGCTCTGGAAAGGCCTGTTCTACGCTCCAGAGCCCAGTAAGCAAGCCTTTACTCAGAGCTGGCGGGGCCGGCTGTCTCAGCTGTAAGGCAGCATGGCTGGCTGGAGCTGCTGCTTCCCAGCTCTGCTGCTTCCCAGCTCTGCCACTCACAACCCCTCAGGAACATGTTTCACGGGGAATCTACAAGAAAGTGTGGTCTAGCCCTCGGTATTCAGGTGGCAGGCATTTTCTGAGAGTGGTCGGCTCTAAGGCCCCACCCCAGAACTACTGAACAAAAGCTTTTGTTTTGTTTGTTTTGAGACAGGGTTTCCCTGTGTAGCCATGGCTGTCCTGAACTCACTCTGTAAAACAGGCTGGCCTCAAACTCAGAGATTCACCTGCCTCTGCCTCCTAAGTGCCAAGATTAAAGGCGTGCCCCATCACTGCCAGGCCAGAATCTGTTTTTAACGGGTTCCGGGGAAATGTGTCTATCTGTGAAAGTTTAAGAACCTCTAGTCTGCTGGAAGATCTAGACACCTTGTAAGAAACGCCTGAGGAGCGGAGCCTGTGCGTAGAGCCCTTGACCGGCTGTGTGGGCATGCCAAGCCAGCAGCATCTGTCTCGTCCACCTGACAGAGGACAGTGAGAAACTGCACAAAGGCAGCAAAGAGGCCAGCTAGGAATGTGCGCCTTACGAAGAAGACACGTGGACACATGGGAACGTATCCCATGTTCCTGCAAGCTGGGACCCACTGCCATTTGTTCAGCACAGTGCGGTGCCAGCTTAAATCTCAAATCAAGATGGTTCCAAAAGCTTCTGAAAAGCTGAGGGAGAAAGTCTATCTGCCCTCTACTTAGCATGTGTACTTCCAGATACAGCCAACTAAATGACCTATGAAGACACCTATGAAGACAAGTGAAGCAGCCCATTAGTCCAGAGACTGAGGTGTATTTGGGGATTGCCTGTATTACACAAGATGTTTCAGAATATTATGTCAATGGTAGGTTATTTGACAAAGTTGGGGCTCTGCATTATTCCACCCCAGAATTAAAAGTCACAGTAATAGTTAATTATGTAAATAGAACCATCAATTGCAGGAAAAGTGTAGACTATTTCTATAGTCTTGCAATAACATGAAATTCAGTATCCACAGAGGAGAAAAATAAAAATTTAATGTGAGTTCCAGTGGTCAAAGCGTCTTAGGCTTTTAAACAGTCTAGGCTGGGGTATAGCTTCATAGGAGGGCACTTGCAAGGCCCTCCGCTCAATTTCCAGGGCAGCATCTTAGAAAAACACAAACTGCAGTCCAGGTGTGGGGGCACACACCTTTAATCTCAGCACTCAGGAGGCAGAGGCAGGTGGATCACTTTGAGTTTAAGGCCAGCCTGGTCTAGATAGCAAGTTTTAAGCTAGCTAAGGCTATAGAGTAAAACTGCCTCAAAATAATAATAATATTTTTTTTTAAATAATCAAACCCCTACAAGCAATTTACAACACACAGCATTCCTTACTAAGTTAAGGCTGCACTCAGGTTACTAAAAAAAAAAAAAAAAAAAAAAAAAATTACTCCCTGGGGGAAAAAACAGGCAAAAGAAACAGCAAGCAAAAGAGAGTCAACAAGAAAACCTGAGCTGTAACTGAAACTCCAGATGAAGGCAGGATGCTCTGAGCTTCCTGCAGAGCAGGCCGACTGGCAGGAAACACAAAGGTGCCTGGTGGTGCTAACCTGGGCAGTCTCTCCTGCAGTTGTCTGTGTCTGTGCTTTTACTGTAACCCATACTAGGAGTTTATGTCTCAGAGGCAGGTGCATGTGCATGAGACCCATGTACAAAATCTGTATCCTCAGAACAGATGGCAGACTCACCCCTGCTCCCAGGAGTTCATGTTAGCAAGGCCCAGGCTTTCCACTGAGAACTTGATGTTGGTCAGAGGGATGGGCAGGGTGTTCTTGAAGGTACAAGTGATGAGAAGAGGCTCATGGATCTTGCCTGTGCTCGGCATCTGTCAGAGTGGGGAGTGGAGAAAGGTCAGGCCGACAGGTTCCATCAAGAAAAGCAATTCTTGGTCCTAGCTCTAAATCCAGAGTGACAGCAGGCCTGTGATCACTTGGAGGCTCTGGAGGGGACTCTGGCCTGCCCCTGCCTCTCCTAGAGTCCATGTATTTGCACATGCTTACCTCTCTGGTTTTGTCAGACATGTTTTTAAGGAAGTCAAGGTACGTAATCTCATGGTAACCAAAAGTCCTTGTGTGGACTACATCCTGCTCTCATCAGTGAGTCAGAGCCCCCTTTTCCAAAGCTCGGGGCTGAATGGCCGCCAGAGGCTCCAAGCTGTACTGAGGACATTGGTCCCAACTCAGCAATGACCCAAAATAGCAAGTGCTTTGCAAGACCGCCCAGAGAGGTGCATCCAAAACAGGCTGTGTTCCTCCTTCAGAATACGCCCCATCCTCTCTGTCTAAAGCCGGTGCACTTGAAGCTCATGCCTGCCTCTGCCATACCCACCCTGGCCTCCTCCTCAGAGCCTCCCCACCCAGGGCTCGTATCTTTGCTTGCACGTTTCAGGTTTTGTCTTATTCTGTAATTCTCCTTCAGCCACCTAGGGTTCCCGAAGCTTGCTCAGTAAAGGGAAGTGTGGCCTGAGAAAGCTGGATGCCCGAAGCACCAAGCAAACATGTCTGGCCTCAGAGACAAGTGTTCTCTGACACCCACAAACTTCTGTGATGCCACCTGGAGGAGGGTGGAAGTAAGACCCTCCCCAAGAGAAGCTTTTAAATTATTTTATCTGCGTGAGTGTTTTGGTTGTATGTATATGTGTATGTGTGTATATATACACGTGTATGTGTATATTAACATGCCACATGTGTGCCTAGTGCCCACGGAAGTCAGAAAAGCATCAGATCCCCTTAAACTGGAGTTACAAGTGGCTGTGAATCATGCTGTGGGTGCTGGGAACTGAACCTGGTTCCTCTGTAAGAACAAGTGCTTGTAATCTCTAAGCCATTTCTCTAGCCCCTCAAAAGTTCTTGATGATCAAGCCATAGTGTGTCTCCAAGTAGTAGGTGAAGCCTGTTCTGCCTCCTTGAGTGAGGCCAGGCCAGTGTCCCAGTGTCTAAGGGTGAACAATGACTCGTGTCCTCGACCACAGTGCCACAGAAATGTGAAAACACAGTCTTAAAGGGGACCGTGTCCTCAGCCTGGGAAGTTTCTGAGGGAGGTGTACCTGCCAATACACAGACATCTGTGACAGACCTGTGATAGGCCAGGCCTCACCAGGGAAGGGCTCTGGGGTACTGGTCACCAGAAACACAATGAACGCCTCTTACGCAAGCTGCCTTTGACTCCCACCTGCATGGGAGAAAACTGAGCAGAGCCAAAGCTAGTCTGGCACCAGCTTCCTCTCAACGTCACACTGGGGGTCGGCCCATGGCAAGCCTTGCCCTTCACTGGTTTGTAACCAAAACTCTCCCATACACAAGAACTGATGGCATGGATCACTGCTGGTAAGAGGAGCCGAGTGTCTGAGAAGGAGGGCGGGAAGAGGCCTCACTGTGACAACTGCATCTGAATAATTTTGTACTGTGTATTCATTTTTAAAAAGTTTAAATCCATTTAACCAAAAGTTGAGAAAAGAGAAACCGCTTGACACATCCCTTCTCAGAAATACCTGTATGGAAAAAATGATGTGCCATTTTCCTTAGGATACAATTAGCCCAAAGACCAGTCAACCAGAGGATCACAAAGCCCTGAGCTCTGCCCTCTCTGAGGTCCGGTTTGGCCTGCAGGCGGCTCACCTCTATAGAGAAAGCAGGGTACAGGAAACACAGGGTTGCGTCGGTGGCCACCCTGTCACCCGTT